GAAACTTTCTGACAAGGTAAGCAAAATATCCAATTTAAAGTTCTATCAGATTGTCAATCCAAAATTTAAACCAGAAAATATTGGAAAGTGCCATAGTGTTAGTATAATTTATTCAAATTTTAATAACTTAAATATTTATCTACACTGAAAATTAGCAAAATCCTCCATTTTATTTACCTATCAAATCATTCTTATCTACATTCATTTTATATGACAAATTTTCTCGTTTATGTTCCCAATTTAATTTTTATGTTTAATTCACAAATATTAAATGTTAATATATTTGATTACATGACAGAATCTAAAATGTCAGGAGAAATTTCAGTTTTTTTTTAAATTTTTTGTCCATAAGAGATGACAACAAATAAATTATATTGATGAGGAAAAATAACATTTCATTAAGCTATAATATGTATTCCTATGTTTTTTAATTCTTAACTTCCCTGCAGTAAAAGACACTAAGAGAACCTTTCCTCAAGCCCATCAAGGATTTGGCACGACTCACAACAGTGCCACTCAACATATCCAAGCAAATCACCCACAAAAAAATTCATAAGATTTTTCGGTTAGATCCACTCCTAGGTCTCAGAATAGTAAGCTGATACCTTATCCACCTCAGATACCTGGCCAGCTTATTCTTACATTATAAAGTTTTTATTCCATATAAGCCTGAAGAAACTTAAGACTGTTTTTAGTAAAATGTTTGCTGTTTAATTAAACTTTTTTAAATGTGAAAATAAAGCTTTCATTGAATCACAAATTTTATTTACTTATTATTATAATAATTACTTATTTTTGTTTCTAATTTGCAATAATACATATTCTTTTTTTTTATACAGTAGGACCCCACTATATACAGACTCAGCACATGAAGTTTTAGTTTTACATTATTGCTAATTAAAAAAAAAATCATAATTAAAAATTTTTATTTTATATTTGTGCTAATCCATTCCATTTCCCAAGGTGTGTGAAGTCTCACATCATCTCACTTGGACACACTTGTTCTGGGAAATCATTACTGTGACTCATTTCTTTGTTTTATACTAAACACTGGGACCTGTATCAGTCTTTGTCCACCAAACCACATAATTGAAAATTTTCCCAATTGCGGGTAATTTAACCCATGGGAAAAGTGTGAATACTGACTAATTCGTAGGTATTTGCAGATATGTTACGAAACAAAGGGAAACCACTGAAACTTTTTTAATTTTTACTAGAGTTATGCTATACATGTAGGTTCTACATTCATTACCCTTGAACCAGGTATTGTGGAGAAGGTCAATTGGCAGTGCTGTTGTCTGGAGTTCTTGCTTGAAACACATCTATGTAACATCAGGTCTTTGTTTCATTTACATACACAAATTACTTTACAAACATAAGAGAGAAAGAAAATATTAAAATTTTTGAAGTTATTTTTATGATTTACAATATAATGCTATTTATTGTTAATACAGTGTTTATTTGTTTTATTTATATAAAAAAAATATGTCATAGGTATATTAGTATAGGAAATAATAATTAATGGGTTTGCTATTTTATGCAAATTGATATGCTTAAGGTCTTGGAACAAACAGGTTGTTTATGGCAAGGCCATACTTCAATATTGTTATGAAATACATAAAAAGATATAAAATAATTTTGACTAAAGGTAAGCAATTAAGTAATCATCATATATTAAATTTAACATTATGACCCAATAAATCCAGAATTATCATTTGGTTAAAAATAAATATAAAAAAATAAAATGTTCATTAGAAAACTTAATTATAATTTTAATATTTCTTCTTTTATAGTTTGAGATAATCTAATCTTGTGTCCCTCACTTGTACATTTCTTGTTACATTGTAATAAAATTTAAAATAATTTCAAGTAAATAAATAAAAATAAAATACTATATTTATATTTCAAAATTAAAACATATATCAAACAACAAATGTGGACTTGTAATTTTTATACAACTTATCAATTCTTTTAAGTGTAAGTTTATCAAATAAAAGTGATTAATTAAATATTAGGTCGATGTAAAAATTTCTGAAATTTTGTAGACCTCTTTAGATTGTTCAAAATTGTTCTCTGATAGATGGCATCTGTAAGTTTCTTGTCAAAAATGCAAATGAAAAATGTTGGGGTGCACAATCATAAGTGAAAGGATATTATGCTTGGCAATACAAAGTTTTTAAATATATCACTTTCTCCTGGCTAAATTTGTACATGTGCACTTTATGATTATCAATCTGGTTTAAAGCCATCATTATAGGAGATGAAAAAATGGTGCCTGTATGTCAAATTAAAGCACTAAAGTTCATGGTCAGTTCATGGTGAAACCAGGTTAAAAAGTAAAGCTTAGCAAAATCATATAAATAAAAGAAACATTTGAAAATTGTGGCGTAGGAATACTGGAAGCAGATTTGGCAGTAAGACTCAACGTGTGAATAAAATGCACATTACACAGATTAAAACTACAGAAAGTTTTGGATGAAGCAATGTTGCCATGATAAGAAATCTGGAAAATAAGCATTGTCACAGAAAAAGCTTCAAGCTTTACTTTGTGATTCATATTGCTCAAAGGTGTTCTTATGTTCAGCCAAATTATTGTGCAACAACATTAAATACCACCAACAAACCTTTATAATTAAACCAGCAAATATATTTTTAATATACTTTGACAAACACTTTTGATTCTAATTGGGATCTGCTTCAGTCAAAACATTCTAAATGCTTGGTAACTTGCCCGTTTTTCTAGAAAGCATGAACAACAGATATTACTTCTTCCTCCAAGTTGAGCAAGAAAGTCATCACATTATTCATTTTTTTTCACATCCATTTAACTATTTGTTAAGACTGCATTTTAACCACAGTGTATAGAAAATCCTCTTATTGACCAATTTTTATACCAACAGTCAAGGGACCTATACACCTTTAAATTGCTGTCTTTAGGGCCCTAATCAAGTGTGAATATACACACCTTTAACATCTGTGACAGAATAAAAGAACTAAACTATATCACAGACTACTAAGGAATACTGCTACCCTTCCATCATCATCAGAGTCTGATCAATAAGTAGTATCCTTGCCCACTCCACAAATAATGAAGACAAGGGTTACAAAGCATTGGATACAACCAACATCTTGCTAAAATATACAAAGAAATAACCAGAGCCACAACATCAAGGCTGTATTTAGAAGGAATCCATCTGTATACATTTTACTTACAAATGCAAAAGATCCCACAGATAAAGAATATATGCCAGGGGTTCCAAGATGTAATGTGTTTAACTGCAAGGGAGATTATATTGAAAAATAACATAATTGTGATTGTTTTATATCTATAACATCTAAAACATAATTAGACCAAAAACTTTTGTTGCCTACCTCATAGAAGTCAGTTTTTGAAATTTGCTGAAATTTCAAAATCATCCTTGATGCTTGTGATCTCTGACAACGATACATAATCAAACATCATTACTACACCTATACGTTTAAAGCTATACAACAACCAAACCCAATATTGTCAGTTAGAAATGGCTATAATACTAATAATTTAAAAGACAATTTGGCATTAGAGTTAGGTATTAGGCGCCAAATTGTCTTTTAAATTATTAGTATTATAGCTGTTTTTAGCCCGATAATATTCGGCTTTGGTTGATGTATAGCTATAAATTTGTACATATGCTAGTCCAATTATTTTGAGATAAAAAGATAATAATATTCTCATTTATATAAAATCATCAAAAAAAAAAAAAAACAGATAAATGAGTAGTATTTTTAAAATTTTATTACAGAGAATAGACACCTCATATACAATCTATACATTCAATATTAGGTATTCACATTTTATACAAGTGTATTGAATACATTTAAAATATGTATTCAAATGTATTCAATATTAAATGAATAAAAACATGTTCTATAATAACTTTTGAAACCAAATAATTCCAAAAACTGTTCTTAAATGCTTTTTTCAGAACATATTTTACTTAATATTTTTGAATAGTGTTTCACCCATTAGCACATAACCACAAAGACATGCAAAAATACTCAAAAATATTGAAAAATATAACACTTATATCTGCTTTTGAATGCAATGTGACAAAAAGAACAAGATGAATGAACCAAAAAATTTTGTTTCAAAGGCAGGAAATCAATTTATCATCATTTTTCCTCAAAAGAACTTTAATAATACTAAAATGATCTTTCATTTTATCAATATCTTCATATGGCAAACTACTTTTCACTTTCATAAAATATATTTATAAAATTACTTACTTCATATCTAATACCTTATTTAAGTGTCACACGTAAAATTTTCCTAGCACAATTTACGTAAGAAAATACGTCGACATACGGTATTTTAAATTAAGAAGCACGGCGTACAATAATAACCGTTACCTTAGACACGAACCTAGCTATTGGCCATTCGGATTTAATAAATCTGTATACAAATTTTTTTTTTATTTTTAAAATGCATTTTCTTGATATTTGCAGCACACAGCCACATCTTATGGCACATTTGAGAATAATTGCTACTTTATTTAATGTTGATATTTCATTAAATAGAGCCAATTAGAATATTAGTTAACATCAGCATCTTTAATAATAACTGCATTTAAAACAGATTCTGATGAATAGACACCTCATATACAACCTATACGTTCAATATTGGGTATTGACATTTTATACAAGTGTATATATAAAATATAAATGTCGATACATGTTAACTATAGTAGAGTTTTACCAACTCAGGTACTTATATAATTAAAAACTATTATAATTGTAAATGTTTAATGCTTAAATCAAAAAAATGTGTGTAGTTGTGTGAATCTTTAATAATTCAATTAAAAAAATGAAGTTAAAAATCACTATTAAATTCAATATGGCGGATAATATCAATTTCGTGTCTTAAATATCTTTATTACAGTATAAAATAATAATATTGATTATTAAAATTTATTAAGATATCTTATACTTTATAAATAATACAAATATATTTTTTCACTGACCGTTTTAAGTTAAAAATACGAGAAAAGTTAATGCTGCTTTTTCTCTTCGATACTAAATCGATTACTATGTACTTTCGGCAAACGGTCAGTGGCCATCTGGTGTCTGAAAAAATTTATTATTATTTCACTCACCCGACTATTTTTGAAATTGGTTTGTGTTTTAATTTTGTTAATTAAAAATTCGCTAAATGAGATTTTATTATAATTAAATTGACATTATAAATGATTTTGAAACATTAAAAATGTTTTCAACTCGTGTTAATTCTATCAGAGCGCAGATCTGGGCTGTGTTCAGTATACGACGAGACATATTATCAATGAGGTAATTAATGGTTTCCAAGATATCTCCTGCCAAGCTCCATCTACTACAATGTGTCTGTCATCTACGGTATGTGGCAGTGGTCCCTGGTACACCTCACATCCGATTAGGTCCCACATGTGTTCGATGAGAGAGGGCTGTTGGCCAGGGAAAGATGTGGATTCTGTTTAGGCTAGTGAGTGGTGAGAGTTTGCTTTGCGACGAGCAGTCGGGCATTGTCTTGCTGAAATAATGTGTCGGGTCTTGCCTGCACCAGTGACCGAACCATATGCTTACAATTTGTGTGACGTACTGATCCTCTGTCAGAGTATCGAAAATGTGCACAAGGGCTGTCCACTGATCAAACCTGATGCTTCTCCAAACCACGATACCGACAAAAAGTGGAACCAGTGTGACGGTTGGCGAAAAGGGCTGGACACGTAGCATTCTCCGGCAAAGCCGGATCATCGCATAGACAAATGAGACAAATGTCTATGGCCCGATTTTTAGAAGGGCCCGGTCAAACTCTATTTTGAAAAGATTTGTAAATAAGATAGTTTACTTTTTTGTTGGACAACAGTATATAATAAATAAAAATATACAGTATTGCTTTTTATATAGTTATAGTGAATTCTAAAATCTAAAGAAAATGAACGTGGGTTGTTCAAAAAGTTCCCGAACTTTTCGAATAGCGCGCCTCCAGTTGGTTATTTTTTAATTCGCTGGGAGGCGTTGTGTCCGCGGAAACCTCCCGAGTAACCTCCTTCAACCCGTTTGTTGATATCTTGTTTTGGTGATTAGTTACTGCCGTTTATGTGAAGGAGTGTTTGTGGGGTTCGGCGAAAAATCGGATCCGTGGAAATCAGCTCTTTGAAAGAGCAGCGTTGTTCTGTGAAATTCTGTGTGAAACTCCGAAAATCCTTCACGGAAACTTCCCACGGGTGGGTGAAACAGTGCTCCAAAAATGCTCGGCAAGTTCGCTCAAATGTTAAGGTGATGTTGATTGTTTGTTTCGATGCAAAGGGGATTGTGCGTCACAAATACCTATCTACAGGCCATACAGTCAACACGGAGTACTACTTGGTGTTATGAAACGCCTAAGAGAGAGAATCAGGCGAAAACGGCCCGAACTTTGGAGAAGCGGCGAGTGGTTTTTTTTCATCACGACAACGCGCCGGCTCATTTGTCCCTCAGAACTCGTGAGTTTGTGGCCAAAAACAAGACTGCTGTGCTTCCCCCCTACTCACCTGACCTGACACAAAGAGACTTTTTCCTGTTCTCCAACAAACTAAAAAACACGCTCAAAGGAAAAAGATTTGCCACCATTCCAAAGATAGAAAAAACGACGGAGGATCTTATGAGCATTCCGGAAAAAGCGTTCCAGGACTATTTCAAAAAGTGGAAACACCGTTGAAATAAGTGTATACGTTGCGGAGGAGACTACTTTGAAGGGGACCCTGACAAATATGTGAAGTATTTTTTTGTAATAAATAAAGTTCGGGAACTTTTTGAACAAACCCTCGTATTCTTATGTTTCTTCTAATTGAAAGTAAAAGGGAACTCCCAATAATTTAGAATTTTTTTTATAGCGATAAGAATAATATTAACTATATATACTCCAGTGAAATCCTGTGAAATATTATTAAATAATTTTGCTTTTATTTTTTATTAAGCAGCTGCAGTGTCCGTATGCGATTTAATAGAAATAATAGTAACATTTATTAATTGAAAGAGCCGACAGGGGACTCTGAAGAAGGAAATGTCTAGGGCCCCAAAGTGGGTTAATCCGGCCCTGTTCTCCGGGATATCACATCCGTCTACGGCCGTCATTCTTTCATAGACAGAAGAGAGAATTCGTCGTAAACAGTATCCGATGTCATTCAACGATCTAGTTGCGATGACGATGACACTACGGTACATGGGCAGCCCTGTGTCGAGCGGTTAATTGATGGCACCCCCTTGCTGGTTGCCGTGCGTGCAACCTGTTGCGAATGGTTTGGTGGGTGGACACAAATGCACCCTTTGATGGTTAAAGACAGTTTCGGATGTCAAGTGCCATGGCGAACGGGTCCGGACGGGCCGCTCACAGGTCCCGGCTTTGGCACTCTGTTGTGCGCTAATAGGATCCACTCCTTCGGCATCTTCACAGATATTCCTGCGGCCATCGTGTCATATGTTGCTGGATGGTACTCAATGTCATGCCCAATACGCGTAGAAACTAAGCGCATCAGCAAACTAGGTCTGCAGCTCCAAGATACGGCGTCGTTCGTCAATTGCTGGTATCAGCTCGCTGTCGTCTCCGAGACATTTTCTACGCTTCTTCGAAAGTTCGGCTCTCGCGAACCGTCGCTGATAGCATTTACGGCCCGAGCCGGCTGTTGATCTTTATAGCCCAAAACTGGGTACCACATGACCCGATGAGTACGCACATTTAATCATTTACATATTTCTGTCACTTCTACCAGTCCTGCAATTTCCATACGGCTACACACAATCCTATGTGGTGCTGCGATTTCCCTTTTGAGGCGTGTTTATCCTGAAGCTTAAATGTTAAAATTTTTTTGAAGAATAACTTACAGTGGAACCTCGCTTAATTAACGAGCGTAATTTGTTCCAGAATCTGACTTTTTTTATTTTAACTCTTTTCGCCCTGTGGGCATAAGAGGGCCTCTTCTAGCAAGCCCATTATGGGCTCGGCCAGGTTCACAATGGGTAGCCGGGTGGTGAGAGACGGGGTCCGACAGATCCGATCGGACCATCCCCGAAAAATTTCTAGGGATTTTTCGACTCGCCCGGGTGCGATCCGGGGCCCCAGAACGGTAGACTGCCACCTTGACCGCTCGGCCTTCCAGAATCTTACTGGCAGTGCCGGCTCGAAGGCGAATTTCAGGATGGAGCGACATCCTTTTATGGCGCCACCTTGGTTGCCCCTAATTTATACCCTTTAATTTTCTTTACCACTGAGGTGTTTCCTAGGACTTAGCGCCTGGAGTGGCTGCTCCGTTCGCCCAATGGTAGGGCCGGCTCTGCTTACTGGTAATGCGAAACAATTTTCCCGTATAAATTAATGGAAAATACGATAATGCGTTCCACGCCGAAAAAATACTCAAATATTTTATGTATAAGATTGGTTTATTATAACGTTTGTTTTGTTAAGTTTTGGCAACGCAACACTTGGGCGATCTGCCTAGGGGATGCCTTCCGGGAGATCTTTTTAAGGGTACGTTCGTTAAGTCGAACGACTTAAACGAGAATGACGTCATCGTTATTCTTATTTCGTTAGACTTTTCGAACGATTCGTTTAGAACTAAATGGCTGTTTCTAAAATCGAAGATACAAATGTTGCTAGTACAGCCTTATCCGAAATATTTTTCTTAGATTGCTTCGGGTGGACAGTTACTCCAATCATTTCATCTTTTAATTCACAATTTAAACACTCGAGTAGATTTAGAAACATCGATATCGTCGGGCGCCATTTTCTTAACGAAGTAAACCAACTCTTTCCTTCGTGAACTTCGTTAGAGTTTCGTTCGAAACGAGTCTCATTATTCCTCTGATTGCCATTACAATTCTTATCCATTTTAAAAAATACGAATTTTAAGTCTCGGTTTATTCTTGAGTTTTGTTTTTATATTTTACTAAATCTGTCCGGTAAGCTTTCCACTCATTATTCAGTATTGACACCATTATGACTTTATTTCAATATTGAGTCCTAAATGATTTCAGTTGATAGCCGAATACAGTATTGATATGGTTAATTCAAATTCGTGTAACTTTTGAGCTGGAACGAGTGAGAGCTTACCAATTGCATTTACTTTTCTCAACGTTTTCATTTATATAGGTTGAAATTTTATAATGTCCTTCGTGTACTGTACCATCTTCCAATATACATCGTTAATTAATCATCCTTGCAACATAGAACTTTTATGTTAACTTGAATTTTATGTAAATCACGTTTAGAGCCTTTTCATTGTGACTATAATGTTTTTTGCTATTGAACAAACCATTTATCTATTACAAATGCCTATTCTATATAAATTTATATAGAATGTTTAACAAAATTTGTAATGTATTCAGTAGCGTGCCGTGACATTTGATGATAGGGAAGATTTGTTTCTGTAAGAAGCCGACTTCCAGGGGCGATCAGTTAATGTATTTAATTGTATTTAAATGTATTTTTAATAGATTATTTATCTGACGTAATTAATAGTTATTAATAAAGTTCAATATAATTACCTCTGTTATTAGATTCCCTATGCCCTCTAAATGCCGATTCTCGCTTTGATATAACATATAACATCTATTAATCTAAATATATCTATTATCCGTAACTATCTCGTTATAATTTTCAATACAGTAGACCCCCCTATAACGCTTAGATACGTTCCACGCTGTATTGTATTATACATTATGCAAAAATTTATGCAATTGTATAAATTATACATTATGCAAAAATACAATTTCAATAAAATGTATTTATTTTATATTATTTACTAATATTAAATACGAAAGAATCGACGATTTTCCGCGTCTTTTGCCCGCTAAATTGTCAAAGTGTGGGGGCCGAGGGGGGAGAAATTTAAAAAACTCGATAAACGATAATATGTGATATATATCGTCATCGTCTCCCTTGCCGTTTGGACTGCCGAGCGGTAACAATCAACATGTGAAAGTAGAGTCAGAGATAGATGCTTCGTTTACAAACAAAGCAACCGTTTATTAAACACGAAAGAAGCTTACAAGATTTCCGCCATCTTGGAAGTTCTGCGGCGGCTGCGGCCTCTGGGTCTTCCTCTCCTTTCCAAGATGGTCCCCTTTGGAAGGAGTGTTCCTTGTTCGCGAATGAACCATTCCATCACGTCTCGACGACTCCTGGACGATGCGGTCGACTTCCGTTGATGGAGACGAAGATGGGTGCGAGACACACACACAACAACAGATCCGTCACTCGGAACTTTCGGGAGAAGAAGCCGTCGCGTCCATGAATTTTCGGGGTTTTATCCGTTTTCTCTCGGATTCCTCTTTCCGATTGGTCTCTCCGCGTCACCCGACGACAATTCGAAACCTTTCGGGGCGCGGGAGAGGTCAAAATCGATGTTTAATTCGATTTCCAACAGAAAATGGTCGACGGACTTACATTCTTCTATTGTTTAAAAGTTAGCGTCGCGTTTTCATACAATAAAAATCTATTTCTAACTACTATATTATTTTCTTTAAAGCAATTATTTTAACGCGAATTTTAGTGAGAGTTCGGACCTGTCCAGAGCCTCACAAAAGCCAGTCTTATTCCACACATTAATTTCATTCGAAAATAGTAAGCAAAGCCAACAAAACAATTTTCGCATTTTTGCATTTACGGAGCCATTTTATCGCGAAGATGTCGAACAAATTTTTTTGAAGTGTTTATATTTAACTTAGGCATTGGCCTTTCTCTTTTAAGGGATTTAATGAAAACGACTTTAAAATTTGTTTCGAAGATTGGAAAACACGTTGGCATAAGTGCATTGCAGTGGGAGGGAATTACTTTGGAAAGACGAAATAAATTTTGATGAATACTGTGATTTTCGAAGCGAAAGGTAATGACAAAGTATGATATACAAGAAACAAACCATTTTCGCGTACGAACAAAGAATTTACGGGCCCAACTCTTATACAATGAATCCTCTGCGTGAGGAACGTCGTCACAATTGAAAATTTCGTGGTTAAAATGTCTGGTATTACGGGTTTTACAATCAATCAAAATCTTGACGAATCTTTCGGAATGCTGGCTCGGATCCGATTCTAACGTCCTTGCAGATGTGCTGTTCTGAACCCTTCTTATTTTCTCAAGAGCAGGATTTTCTCCGAGGAGTCTTCCACTTAACTTTCTACTTAAAATCTTCTTATTAGTCTCTTACTCTGATATGGCATTCTTCAGCTCTCGTCGATGCTGAAACGACCAAGAACATTCGTTGCACACCTCTCGCTTCCTCGGTGTTCAGCCAAAAAGTGGTTCTCTCAAACGAATTTTTGCCCTCAGGTCTCCCTGCACTCTATCGTCTGCCCCTCCACACCCTGGTCGAGAAGGGTTGGGACCGAAATTCTCGGAATACGGAAAACAAAAGACACACAAGAACTATGGGATAGCGAAAAGTTATTAATAAACTACGATAAGAAATTGAAACCCTACATAAAATATGGCATCATGCCACAATACATTCAAATCTTGCGTTTTATTGAATTATTGTGTACTCTCAGTACTGAGATAAAGGCTGGACGAATTTTTTGAAACAGCTTTTGCGTTCCACGTCGCATGTGTATATAGGCTTTAAACACCAACAAAATTAATAACGATATGAAAAAATATATTTGTTTGAAATCCGTAAATACAATTTAGTATTTGAAGCGATTTATAATGTTCTATTTGAAATCTAAATATATAAAATTAAATGTCCTGACTGACTGACTAACTGCTTGATTCATCATCGTCCAGAGCAAACTGCTGAACCTAAAGAAGTGAAATTTGGTACACAGTTAGGGTACGTCACGAAAATGCACACTAAGAAGGAATTTTTTCGAAATTCCCCCGTGGGGGAGAGGGAGAGCGTTAAGGCTTAATCCGAGGAATGGTTTCTACTGTACTATTTTATATGCGATTTTTTGTTTTTGATAGTAATAACTTAATTTGCAAACGTTCAATATTTACGAAATCATCCAAATCGGTTGCCCAAGAAACGCCGGTCTCGTTTGCTAGTTTTATAATAAATTCGGACTCTAAATGTTTTGTGTATCGGTTTCACGGCTGAGTCACGAACCCGAGAATTGTTTGTCGGTGGTCGGGTGACTCGGGTCCTGTATCGCAATACTCAGCCACTCCAATGATAGACCTTGCCGAACCTACGTTGGGCCCTCTTAGCACGACAATGATAGGACGGAAAATGAGCCAAAAATGAAAAATAGAGGCCGAAAATACTATGTCTAAGAGATACAAAAATTAAATCGATTAACGCAAAGTATTGTATTTTAATAATTAATATAGTAATTATTATATTAAAGTATCAAACCACAGTCATAACAGCCAAACTCGAAAATACTGAAACCTTATAGTTTCCCAACATTTATTACATTATTTTCTAGGTCATCCATTTTATCAAAAATTATCTTAACGAATTTCACATATGTATAAATTGATAATGTAGATAATATAGAATTACAAGGCTATTTACAAGATTATTGTGTATATTAATTTAAATTCAACACACTCCATTTGGGAGAACAGAAACAAAGTATGTAATTTATATTTAGTTTAATAATTAACAATTTCAGGTGAGTCAAATATGTTTTTTAAGTGCCTATTCTGTAAGTTTTTTAAGGTCTACTTTTACAAAAGCCTAATAGAAATTTCAAATTGAATTTCTTGCTATAAATCAAACATTTTGCAAATCAAAAATCAAACTTGTGTGAAGACTTCATTACAGTAAATAATTTTTTTTTTTCTTTGCGATTCTTCGGTTTAGCGCCACACTCGATTTAGTACCAATTTTGGAGTCGAACAAATGGTAGAGCTGAATTTTAGTTGATAGTAATCATAGTGTTAAATAGACGAGACTGTTAAATCGTCAGCTTAACGCTCTGGGAAGCACGGGTTTAAGTCCGGATCAGGAACCTCAAGAATTTTTCGGGGTAGTCATTTTTTGTTCCTATTTACTACTTTCGCCCCGAAGACACACGGGACCTTTTCTCGGGTCCACATTGGGCTCGACTAGGGCAATCGAGTAATGAAGGACGTGACCCGATATATCTGGGATAGGCCACTCCCCAACAATTTTGGACTCGACTCACGACTCCCAGAACTTGACGCCATCCGGTCGGCTTTTCAGGGGCGATTTGTACAGGGTTAATCGGGTCTAGGGCCATTGTGGATCTGGCCACTCGTGGTAAATCTGAAGAAAAGACTCTCTTATTGCCCACGGAGCGAAAGTCAAAAATATGAAAAATATCGTATTAACATTTTGTGCTAACTCAATCCGATCTTTATTCCATTGTCATCTGTAATCCTTACTCTAGTTTTCCGAGTGAGGAAACACGAGTTTTTGATTTTTCTGTACTGTCTCCTATTTATATTTTCATACACATACAATATTATGAAAAGTTATTTATGCTGTAGAGCAGGGGTGGCCAAACCGTGGCGCATGCGCCAAACTTGGCGCATTGGACGATTACAAGTGGCGCTTTAGTCAGTTCTGAGCAACATTGCCAGATTTGGCTTCTTTGCAATTAAGAATATTACATAGAAAATTAATTTTTTATAGTCTGTCTTGGCAAGTTCATTTGTTGCACAATTCGTTGCAATCAACTTTACAGATAAAATGAGTGTTCTCCACATAGTAAATTACAGTGTATGCATGTATGTTTATTTTCGATCAGTGCATAGGCGTCTAAATGACAGTGCTACCGTCCGGACAGTCCACGAGTCGGTTGGACTGCTACACCTGTTGACCTCTTTTTTTTTTTGCTTCTACGATTCACGATACATTCGCAATCGTGTATGCCACTAATGTCAAACGGGACTATTTTGTACGGGTAACTACACCACCACCGCATTTTTTATTAATTTTTTTTTCACACAACTGAATTTTGATCTTTTAAATTGAAATACCTGATTAAAGGGTGGCCGAAATTTTTCTCCGCCCCGGGCGGCTAACACCCACGGTACGCCACTGCGCATCTGAACTCGTCTATCAAAAAATTGGCGCATGGTATGCAAAAGGTTGGCCACCCCTGCTGTAGAGCATCGATTATCCGAATCAATCGGGACTGGGCTTGTTCGGATAACCGATAATGTACGAAAACATATATTAACCTATCCCATTTTGAAATTCGTTCAAATCCTGGCACCCTCTCACGATCGCGCTAGTGCTGCCAGCTAAAACACGCGCACCAACAAAAATAATATTTGAGTAGCCCAAGACTAGCGGAAATTTAAATTTGCCGACTGGAAAGCTTTCGGATAATCGATGCTATACTGTATTTAGCTTGTATGCTTTATGCTGTAATTCTAGCATCACTCGCATAAGGCAAACGGGAAACACGATAATCGCTAACAATTTATTATTTCATCTTTCAGAAACGAAAAGCATTTAATATTCATTCCTTATGTCCTTCGATTATAATTACACCGGCAATTTAAACAACTGTCTAGAATTAATAGTTTGTCTTCCTTCTTTACTTCTATCCCAACTGTAAAACTAACATTGAATAAAGCCACCATTTTTGCTTCGGACCGACATCAATTCAGCGCTTAACATCTATACGTCCTGCTATTCGCCCAATCGACTGCTCTCGCGAGATCTTACCCTTAGCTCGTTCCACCCCGCGGCGGGTCGAGCCGCCGTCGCCGCCGATCGCCTCTAATCGGAAGGCGACGTCGGACGGCATCATTTATGACCTTTCCGAAATAAAGGCGGCGGCCGAAATCCGACCTCCGCCTCCAGTCATTCCGGCAGAGACGAAATTCCTCCAGAAAACATATATTAAGTGACAAAGCATTTTCGAATGGCGACCGCCGTCGACGGCGCCGCGTCGTCTCCGCGCGAAGACGTCGGCGCCGCTTTGGATTGTGGGGAGCCGGCGGAAGTACGACGTAAACCGCGACGTCATCGCGACGTAAAAATCGCGTTTACTCGGTAGACTTTAACGTAATATATTTACCGTATAACGGCGGAATATAATATAATAATAATAATTAATGTTTTTCCGTCGATAAATACGTCTCCCGCCTCTATGATATGGGAGCGACCAGATCCGGCAAGAAGCGAACGAATTCCGGTCAAGATTACAGGACGTTCTCCAAAGACGATCTGAAGCAGGAACTGAGGAAGAGAGGCATTAAATGCGGCGGAAAGAAAACTGATCTGGTAAGTGCCGGACCTTTTAGCAAATCCCATTAATTAATATGGACGGCGGAGATCCGTGACTCGTCTCTTTCCTTTCTACTTCCCAGCGATCGATGCGACGTTCATACGCAGTTGCGTTCGCTTTAAAACATCGCCCTTTTCTGCCAAATGTTCCCGTCTTCCGTCGTCTCCACTCGTTTTTGTCGCCTTTCCCACCATACGGTACGTTTCTCTCTTCTCTCGAGTTTTTCCTTTTTCGTTTTCCGCTTAACCATTATTCGATTTTCCGCATTTCCTCCGATCGTGGTCCATTTCGCCTCCTTCGAAAATTCCCAAGAAATAATATAAATTTCTTCTTTCGAAGATTGACGTTTGACCTCCGATCGCTTTCGAAACGTAAATATCGAGCTCGCTTTCTCGCGAACCTTACGGCGACGATGACCAGTGAGTCTTCTTGATGCCTTTATCCTTCTTCGTATTTCGCTGTCGGGAGACGAGTAGAAAACGATACGTTTCTCTTTCTGGGCGGGACGTCGCCGGGGTCATGTCCCCGTTACCCTTTGCCGTGCTCCCGGCGGTTCTTTGCCTCGGCCGGGGAGGGGAGCCGTACCGGTCCGGTTTCTCGACCGGTCGACCTCCTCCGAATGCGGCCCTCCGGACTCTCCTCCCGCGCTCTTTAAGATTTGCGGAGTGGACGAAACTCTGTGCGTAAAGAGGGGAACGATATCCCGAAACGAGTGTTGTGGTGCGGTGCGGTGGTCTCGATTAACCGAGGGGCCGTAGCGAGGAGAATTGTACGAGATTACTCTGTCGACGGACTGGAGAGTGTAGTGAATATGTGGGTAATGCAGAACAGAATTAGTACAGAACCTAGTAAGAGACAATTTGTTTTATGAATTTTGTATCCAAAGGGGAACTAAATTTTAAAAAGCACTTACTCTGGAGACATCACACAACAATACAAGAATATTGTTATAAAATCAATCATTTTTTAATTATTATTAATTTAATAATTATGGATTGTGAGGCTTTTTCTGACAAATGGTCGAAAGAAATCTTAAAAAAAAGAAGAAAAAAGCACGCTTTGAATGCATTTGGTTAAAATGGAATAGATGTAAAGAAAGCTTTGAAGTGGAATGTCTCACAAAGGATTGTTCTTGGATATTAGTAGAGTGGGTGCCACTGATAATTATCAAAGGTAAAATTTTGCCAGATAACCTTTGTTTAAAGTTTGTATGATGGTGGTGAACAATAAAATATATTTGGACAATGTCAAGAAATATATACTGAAGTCATTCGTTTGTCTTAAAGTGTGTAAATGTTCTTCCCGTGCATAATTTTGTTGGATGTCACTTAGACAATGAGCAAGAAGACTGGAAAGAACCACAGATCCTAGAAGAGCCTCTTGGTATGACATTCTGCTCCAATGCTATTTTTCATTCCTGCATGGTTAAGCTGGATGCACTGGAAAAGCAGTGTTTTTTGTTTTAGAAGTCTGTTTTGCTGGCAGACACTCGCATGATGTAAGACAAATCATAGAGTCTGTGATAAATCTCTTATGCAAATTCTTTTTTTTTTGTAAAGAAGAAAATTGTAAATTTTAAACACTATGTTGTTTTTTTATCAGTGTAAGTCAGCTATTTCATTCTAACAGTAACAAGTTTTATCAAGAAATATTGTGGGTTTAACTCAGTTCTTTTGTTTTTATAAAGACTTGCCTATGGCTCTAATGGGATATTGATAGTGCTAGCAGAGAGAATTTTATCCCATATGTAATGATTTTGTGGTTTGATGTTGCTTGTTCTTGTATGTTGATGAAAAAAGAGATTGAATTTATTATCGAATTTAAAGTGATTTTACTCATTTAATTTTCTCTAATGGCTAACCCAAAAGCATACAGTAAAAAAAATTTATTATCCATAACAGTAAATTAGAAAATCATACTAGAAAAAAAAATGGGTAAGAAGCTCTAGCAAGATTTTAAATTATATTTTTTAACAAATACAGTAGAACCTCGAAAACTCGACCTAATGATCAAAAAATTGGCGCATGGTATGCAAAAGGTTGGCCACCCCTGCTGTAGAGCATCGATTATCCGAATCAATCGGGACTGGGCTTGTTCGGATAACCGATAATGTACGAAAACATATATTAACCTATCCCATTTTGAAATTCGTTCAAATCCTGGCACCCTCTCACGATCGCGCTAGTGCTGCCAGCTAAAACACGCGCACCAACAAAAATAATATTTGAGTAGCCCAAGACTAGCGGAAATTTAAATTTGCCGACTGGAAAGCTTTCGGATAATCGATGCTNAAAATTTATTATCCATAACAGTAAATTAGAAAATCATACTAGAAAAAAAAATGGGTAAGAAGCTCTAGCAAGATTTTAAATTATATTTTTTAACAAATATATATTTTATTCAAATGAAGTTTATCAGTTCTAATATGGTAATGTTTTGGTATGCAAAGGATTTTTGCATTTTTGAAAGATGTTCTTGGTGGTATTGGACAAAGAAAATGCTGTTTAAATACTTCATGATAAATTTTAAATTACAAAATCAGTAGATAAGCCTTTATTGAGGGCAAGTTCATTACAAAACTTGCCCTCAATTTTAAGTTATTGGATAGGTTATCTATACAAAAATACAATACTTTCAAAAAGTTTTATTGGTCCAACATAAACTTTTGTCAAAATTTTGATTAAAAAATGTTTAAGTTGTTTTATGGTTTGATAAATTTGGATTTGTATTGAGAACTTCTGATATGTATAGTCAATTTAAGTAGAGTTGTCCGTTGGGTTGCTTCATTTAAGTGTACTATAGGAGAGAGTGATAGGACAGTGTTTTTTTTTTTTTTTTTTGTTAATCAAGAAGTTTTAATAAATATAAATATTTAATAGAAGATAATAATAATGATGTAATTAATGAAATTAACATTGTGCATTCAACTCCTGCTCAAGTTAAATTGAAGCTCAAGGGAGAATATGTGCATTCATAAACAATTCTATCACCTCTTAAAGATGCAAAAATGAACTAACCTAAGGGCCAACTATAAATCTCTGCATAAATTTTCATACTGCAGACTCATTGGATTGTAGTTTTGATCTCTTGTAAGTCATGTTCTATAATTTCAGAACAACATTTTCTAACTAAAAATATTTTACAAAGTATAAAAACAATTTTTGTTTAAATCAACAAAGTATTTGTATTTTAGTTCAGAAAGAGTGAATGCATTTTCTAATTTTTGTTTTAAATTATAATGAATTTTAAAGTTGTTTTATTTTTTCTAGGCGTCAGAATTTTTTATCGAGCTATTCGGACTTCAGTAGCTAATGTTGAATGATTAATCGAGAGCCGCATAAATTTATTAGACGGGTCGTATGGTGGCCATGCCTGATCTAGTATCATTTTANATTTTTGTTTTAAATTATAATGAATTTTAAAGTTAATTATTTTTCAGTATGTGTGTGTGTGCATATATTTAATATATAGGTAATATTATTTATATCAATATATATCTTTTGATACTACACTATAAAATGCAAAATTTTTAATTTAGCACAAATACCTGATTGGAAAAATGGATAATCATAGACATTCACCTTCATCTTTATTAAAAAATCTATGATTGAGTCATTTTATACTCAAAATAATTCATAAAGGATTAATTATCAACACAGACCCAAAATTTTGGAAATTATATAATTTTAAGTGAATACAGAAAACACAATTTAAATAGACTGCTGAAGAAAGTGTTTTTCAATGGGCAACTTGACTGTCAAACTGATGGCAAAGAAACGTTGTGACCATACTTAAAATTGTACATTTTAACAAAATTTTCAGACCAGAATTAATGACATTCAGAATTACTTATACTAATAAACACACCTGATTTATATTTGCTGAGTTTTTTCTTTATTCCAAACGTTTTCAGCCTATCCAAATAGGCTGAAAATGTTTGGAATAAAGAAAAAAACTCGGAAAATATAAATCAGGTGTGTTTATTAATATAAGTAACTAATATTGCTGAGAAGACAGACAGACAGACATTCAGAATTTTGCAGAATCTAGATAATGTAATTGTTTCATCATTGAGAAAATGCTGTGATAAAATGCTATATTTAAATCACTATTAATAAATTTGTGAACTTCCAATAAAACAGATTCTTAAATTTACATTGAGAATCAGTTCCTAGAGTACTTTAAGACAACCAGGTTTATCATTAGGAGATACAATAGTAAACTACCTTGACAGCCAAATTAACTGTAGCAGTTCATAATCAATAAATCACCATTGATTTTATGAATCTATAAACCACATATTTTCAAATGATTATAAGTTTAAATTATCGGAATTTAAAGTATAATAAATTTGACTTGGTCCATACTTGTACACAAACACACATTCACGATAAATCCTAACACTAAAAGCAGGAATGTTTTCTTTCTTGTAGAAAATATGCTCTCAAGCATCTAAATATCCTTTTAAATTAAATAATAAATTTAAAATAGTATTTCTAATAAATGAATTTTTTCTAATAAAAGGAAATATTGCTTCAAAAATAAAATTTTTTAAAACATATCATTTTAGAAGAATTATAAAATAAAATAATTCAATCAGTTATGTTATCATATTTATTCACTACATTTATAATATAGATGACAGTTAGATAACACATCACTCAAAATAAATGGTTTGATAGCTATGTTATGATGGATGAACTGTGTTCTTGGAAAGCAGTGTTTTGGTCTAGAGATGATATACTATATACAAAATAATTAAAAATTACTTCATAAAAATTGTAAAACTTATGGCAGTAATCTTAACTTTACTGTTGCATGTGGAACTTTATGGTTGCATGTCAAGTTCTTGTTACATAATAATGAATTATTACTACTAATAAAATTTGTTAATTATATCCTCTTTTTTTATTTTGAATGTTCTACCATATTTTATTGAAAATATGATTCTAAGTATTGTGGTAGTTGTAATTGTTTTTTTACTGGAAATCTTAAA